CCCGGGAAGGGGACCTCTGCCTGAAGGGACCCGTCTGGTCCTGGGCACAAAGGAGTCATGTCCCTGGGCCGACCCTGAGTGAGAGAGCCAGACCCTGCAGCTTCACCAGCTCCCCCCTCCCCCAACCCCTCCTTTCTTCCTCCCAGGCCTCGGGGCTGGCGGGTGGAGACCAGGAGACCTCGGTGTTAATCTGGGTTGTGAGTACAGGTTTCCGTCCAAGCAGCCTTAAGGCACCTGCTTGACTTCTCTCCGTCCCTGAGCAGGTGCCAGCAGGCCCACAGTGGGGGCCAGAGGCTGGGGGGAGGGGAGCCCGGGTTCCTTGGGAATTGTGCTTTTGGGACACACACAGGCTGCAACCTCCCAGGCAAACACTTCAGACTTAGGAAGCAGACCTTTTCTGCTATGAGAGCCCCTGAACTGGGGTGCCTCTCTGTCCTTCTCTTTGCTTCTCAGCATTGCCTAGGCCAGTGGCCGGCAAACCCATTCGTCCACAGAGCCAGATATCAACAGGACAACGATTGGAATTTCTTCTGAGAGCCACATTTTTTAAACTTAAACTTCTAACGCCACTTCTCCCACATAGACTCGCCCAGGCCGTGGTGTTCTGTGGAAGAGCCGCACTCCAGGGGCCAAAGAGCTGCATGTGGCTCGCGAGCCAGTTTGCCGACCACGAGGGCCCTAGGTTTTGTCAGTTTGTTACACTAGACCAGGCAGTGAGTAAGGAAGAGAGGAGCGCGGTGGTTTTCGGAGGGGAGATCCGAGGCCCCTGGAGAGGGAGGTGGAGGTGAGAGCGCTGTGGTGAGCGGCCCCCCGGCTCCAGGCCCGGCCGGCGCGTCCCTGCCTTATAGCGCAGTGAACCCCTGAGAACCGCGGCCGAGGGCAGACATTCGGGGCGTTGCATTGGGCCAGGTGCGGCCTGAGTGTCTGCAGTGCTGGCAGCTCCCGCGATGCCCAGGGGCCCACTCTGAGCAGCAAGCCTGAGTCCAGCCCAGCGGCTCCCGGCCTCAATGCCCATTGCGATCACCTGGAAAGCTTTCCAAACCTCGTGCTCTGGCCACACGCAGGTCACGTACACCAGAGGCGGCAGGCGTGGCCACCGGGGGGCAGCGTCTTCCAAGTCCCCGGTGATTCTCGTGGCCACGGGACTGAGGCTGCTCTGGGCCCTCAGCTCACCCCTCACCTCCTTCCACCGAGGCCCCGAGAAAGGCGGCTCCGAGGGACGCGGCCGGTGAGTGGAAGGCCGGGCCTGGGCCGGGCTCCCTGTCTTCCCTGCCGCACCGGGAGCGGGGGGGCTGGGAAGGGGCAGCATGGACTCAGGCTCAGGGTCACCTGCAGGGCCCAGAACCCCCCAGATTCCAGGCTGTTCCCTGGGAAATTGTTATTCATGTCCCCCCAGCGTCCCCAGCCCTCCCAGGTCACCAGGAAGCAGCCCTGTGGGTGTGTGGAGCAGAGTATCACCCCGTTCGCCGTGGGGGTCAGGGTTCACCGTGGGGGTCAGGGTTCACCGTGGGGGTCAGGGTTCAGAGCTTACAGGCTGCTGTCCCAGGGGCAGCGTCTATCATTTGAAACCTCCTGCACGGTGGAAGCCCTGGCTTTCCCCTGACTGATCCTAAGACACACCTATCCTCCTCCCCACCCCTCACCCCTGTTTTGAAGTCTCTAGCCGTGGGCTGCGTCTGGCAAATGCTGCCGAAGGACCCGCAGGCCGCCACGCTGGACAGTGAGTGCCGCGCGCGGGGTTCCGGCGTTGCCCGTGCGTAGACGGCGCAGTGATGCCCACGGGCATTCAGTTGGAGCATCGCACGGTGACGGCTCCTCCTCCTTCAGGCCAGCGGCCGGCAAGCTCGTTCGGCCCCCGAGCCAACTATCAGCGGGACAACGACTGGGCTTTCTCTGGAGAGCCACATGTTTAAACTTAAACTTCTCCTAACGCCACGTCTTCCACACAGACTCACCCAGGCCGTGGTATTCTGTGGAAGAGCCGCACGCCGGGGGCCGAAGAGCCGCATGTGGCTCGCAAGCCGCAGTTTGCCGACCACGGGTCTAGACCCCCAGGCGGTGCTTTGCGTGCCTTTGGAAAAAGGCAGGAGGCTCCTGCCCCGAGGCACGAGGCTCCATCCTGTCTGCATGGCCAGGGCACGTCCCGGCCTCTCACCTCCACTTGCTCCCCAGGTCAGTGGGGCCGCGTAGGAGGAGGTGTGGGGTTACATGAGACAATTCACCCAAACCACAGAGCCCGCGCCCGGCACACGGGAGTGCTCCCCTGGCCCCTGGGCAGGGAGAGGAGTTTCCCCAGGGGACCGACAGGCGGGACCTGAACCCAGGCCACAGCTCCCAAACCCGCTCCACTCTGCTCCCCGCCTCTGGGTCCGGAGACTCTCCCTCCGTTCCCTCCCCACCCACCCCACCCCTGCCGTCCTCCCCCTCCCCCGTCCTCTTGCCTCCCTTGCTGGCAGCCGTCCTGGCCATGTGGCAATTCCTCCCTCCCCGCGCCCGGCCGGGGCTCTGCCCACACCCACCTCCACCGTGGCCTGCCTCCGAGACCTGGCCAGCTCACCCGGCCTCCAGCAGCCGCCTGGACCCCTCGGCCCCAGCAGCACAGACACAGGCCGCGGGGCGCGTGTGCAGGAGCTTTATTTCTTTCCATGCCGAGACATACAGAGGTGACCTGGGCGCGTGGTGCGGGCGGCGGGAGAGTGCTCGCCGCTCCCTGTGGGACTCGGGAGAGCCTGGTCGGCGGCAGGAGCCGGGACACTGCGTTCATGCGGCCAGCAGCCGGCCCGCCGCGGAACGGGTCAGCAGACACTGTCCTTCCAGGCCTGGGGGTGCCGGGCTGCCCGTGGGGTGCGGGCAGCGGGGCGCCCACCCTCTACCATCACCTTCCCTGGCTCGTGTCTCTCTTCTCCCTGAAGTGCTGAGCGGAGGCCCCGTGGCGCCTGCTGGGAGCCTGGGACTCTGACCCCTCCGCCCAGAGCAGGGGCCTGTGAACCCCAGTTCCCAGAGGCCTCAGTCTCCCCGGCCTGGCCTGACCTTGCAGGGACACAAATACTCTGGACCAGCCCACATCCTCCCCCTCCCCTCCCCTCCCCGAACCCCACCCCCACCCCAAACCAGGGCATATCTCTTTTGGCCTCAAAGTTCCCATAAAGCAAACACACCAGCTCTCCATGGGGGCGGGAGCGGCTGGAGCTGCTTTCCTGGGGAGGAAAGTGGGGGGGGGGGACTCAGCAAAGCCTCCCCCGAGGGACCCTGGGGCCTGCGCCCTCCCCTCCTGGCGGTCACTTGGGTTGGCCTGCGCTCAGGCCCCGGAACTGCCCCGGCAGACAGTCCACGCTAACAGAGCCCTCCCAGCGCCATGCGGAGGGTGGGGGCTGGCAGGGGTCCCAAGAGGAGCCCAAGCATCGTGAACAGACTCAGGGTGACATTCTTGGCCAACCGGGGGCCAGTCCGGCTGCAGCTAGGAACCTGCCCTCCACTGAGCGCCGTAACCCCCCGGCGGGAAGGCCTGTCCATCGCTCTCCCAGCGTCTGGGAGCCGAAGCCCGTGCGGAAGGGGGGCACGGAATTTGGGGGAGAATGTGGGGCCTAAAGCCAGGCAGTCGGCCCAGGGGCCATGGTGTCCAGCCCGCTTCTCCCACCGACTGGCCCTTCAGCCCAGCTATTTCTCAGTCTTGGGATTCTCTAGACCAGTGGTCAGCAAACTGCCGCTCTGTTGACTAATGAGTTTGCCGACCACTGACCTAGACTCTCGATTCCAATAATTACAGGCTGTTGTCGTTCCTTGTGATTAAGCCCCTATCCCAGTGGTCGGCAAACTCATTAGTCAACAGAGCAGCAAACCGCGGCTCCGAGCCGCATGTGGCTTGCGAGCCACAGTTTGCCGACCACGGCTCTAGACCAAGAAACACTAAACCTTCATAAAAACTCTCTGGCCCACTTCCCTGCAGGTAGCACACACACTGCCAACGGCCCAGGAGCCCTTGGGAAGTGCCCCCCCCCCCTCGGGGGGTGGGGGGTCCCAGAGCCTCCCCCTGTTTGTGGGTGGCCAGGGGCAGAGGAGGAGGCACAGGGCGCCCATGCCCCATCTGAGCTGCTCTGTGCGGGGCCCCAAGTTTGTACCCCAGACCATTGGGGGCCGTGGCAGGAGGAAGCTCAGGCCCGGGGGCCTCACCAGCTGGCACTTGGGCCCTGGGAGTTCTTGGTTGGTGCCCGGGCAGAGCACAGGGAGGGCGGCAGGTGGACCGGGACATCCTGGGAGACTCCTGGGACCATAGTTCTCGGCAGAAAAAGTTTGGGAAGAGGTCTGCATCACGCTCTCCCTGTTCCCGTCTTCACCATATTCCGTTCGGCGCTTCCACCTTGCAATGGGCTGGGGGGGCAGGGGGTGCAGGTGAAGGGAGTCTGTCGCCTCCATCCAGGGCGGCTGAGGTCCCTGTGGCTGCAGGGCGTGTGCTGAGCATCACTCAGCCTCTGAGGCCAGGGCACGGCCAGGATCGCAGCAGGCATGTGGCACACGAATGCAAACAGTCCTCTCTATTCCCCCTCGAGAAAAATGCAAAGATCCAGAAAGATCCAGAAAGTCCCGCGCCTCTGAGCCTGGCCCTGTGGGTGTGTGCTGCTCTCTCCCCCCACACGGCTCCTCCTTCGGTGCAGCTGGTTTTTGCTCCTGCTGGCAGAATACACTGCTCGGCAGAAGCCAGGAAAGTGTGGGGATGAGGAAGAAGCCAGAACACGGGGGCAAATGCCAGCCAGGCTGTGTCCATGAGGTTAAACCACATTATCCACTGGCTCAAGTCCATTTCGTTTCCTTCCTTCTTCCTCTGGCTTTTCCCGTCTGATGTGGACGCAGAGGAGTGGCAGAGGGTCCCTCTGAGTTTGTGCTTGTGGAGCCTGGGGACAGGTGGGCCCCTGGCAGCCCCGTCCTGTCCTCCGTGGGGCGAGGGGGTGGGGTGGGAAGGCCAGCTGCCCAGGGCTGCCTCTGCCGGCCGAGACTGGACACGGCTATTTCTTCTGGACTGCAGAGAAAAGGACAGTTACAGCAGGACAGACAGAGCGTGGGGCCCCGGGTCCCTGTTCCGAGGTCTTGGGTGTTTGTTTCCTCGTGGGAAAGGGCAACAAGGGACCCCCTGGTTTGGGGCTCTTGGTTGGAGCTGAACTGCCAGTGAGAGGACCGAGGCTGTGGGCCCCGACCACAGAGCATCTTTGCTTGGATTTCCTGGTGGAAATCCCTCTACCATTTTGAGTTCAGTGGTTGGCATGTGCCATCGAAAGAGTCATGGCTGCCCGGCCAGAGTGGCTCAGTAGTTGAGGGTTGAGAAACCAAGAGGTCACCGGTTCAATTCCCAGTCAGGGCACATGCTTAGGTTGTGGGTTCAATTCCCACCCGGGGCCATGCAGGAGGCATCTGATCGATGGTGTTCCTCTCTCATCGATGAGTCTATCTCTCATTCCTCTCCTTTCCTCTCTCTCTAAAAATCAACAAAAACGTATTTTAAAAGGAAGAGTCATGGCCAGCAGGACCAGCAGCAGCGGGACAGAGGCATTGTGGGTGATGCTGAGGCGAATGCCCCGGCGGGAAGGGTCCTGCCTCTCCCGTGCCCGCGTGTCCGTCAGGCTCAGGGAGGTCACGGAAGACGCTTCAATCCAGGCAGAGAGGAGCCGGTGGGGTTTGAACCCGGCAGGCTGGTTACAAACCTGACCTCTCCCCTCTCCTCAGAGGCCACGGTTGCCCATGACCCCACAGCTGAATCCCAGGCTTTCTCTCCACAGTCTAGTGCCTCCAGAACCTGATGATTGTCTGGGAATCTTAGTCAGATGCAGATTCTGACTCAGGGGGTCTGGGTGGGGCCTGAGAGTCTGCATTTCTGACACGTTCCCGGGGTCAGCAGCCACAGCCGCTGCTCTGTGGGGCCCGTCTAGGGGAGCGAGGTCTTTGGGGGGAAGCCTGGGCTGGTCACTGCAAGGGGCAGAGATCCCCGGGGGCGTGTGTGTGTGTGTGTGTGTGTGTGTGTGTGTGTGTGTCTGTGTCTGTCTGTCTCTCTGTTTATCTTTCTGTCTGACTTCTTCTTTCTGTCTGGGGAGCTGCATGGGCCTTGTGAGCCGCTGGAGTCACCCTTGGAAATGGCTCCCCTCCTTGGAGAACCTCCTGGGTGCTCACAGATGTGTTCCTCTCTGACTTCCACCGTGTGCGTTGTTTACTTCCGGCCTGTCCTGGCTGTCTCAGCGCCATTTACGAAGACGGACACATCCGTCATCTCCTCGACGCTCACAAAAGCCTCCGTGCTGGAGGCTTCTGCCCACGGCTCCCCACAGGAAAGGCCCCAGGGTTCAACTAGCCACCCCGCCTCTGGCTCCTAGGCCCGTGCTCTTTCTTTTCTTAAAAATATGTTTTTACTGATGTTTAGAGAGAGAGGAAGGGAGAGAGATAGAAACGCCCATGAGAGAGAAACATCGCTGATGGGCTGCAGCCTGGGTGCGAGCCCTGAGCGTGACCTCTTGGTTCCTGGGTCACGCTCTTGCCCCTCCCTTTCCGCTTAATCCACTTTCCAGGAACAAGACGAGGCACACGGCCAGCCGGCTCCCGCCGGCTGCTGCCTGGAACGGAGCTGCTCTTTGGGAACGAGAGGCTGGGCTGCGGCCCCACAGGCTCTGACCTCTCCCCCCCGACCCCTGCCCCTGCCCCAGAGGCCAGGCCGCAGCCGTGGCTGCCACGCGGCTGGGACTCACCTGCAAAGTTGATGGTCACGGTCACGATGATGATGATGATCCCCATGATGATGAAGGTGATGCTGAGCAGCCGGGCCAGGCGTCCCAGCCTCCGGGCCCCGTCTATGTCCCCCTGCTGCACGCTGCTTCGAGACTGCGGGGAGAGGGAGGGTGGCCGGGGCCTCAGGGAGGCTGTCCTCACAGTCCGGGGGGGGGGGGCTGGCCCGCTGCAGCCCGCACGCACTCCAGCCGCCCCCCAGAGGAGAGGAAGTGGGCTTCTCCCTGAGAAGTGGCCTGGACTCAAGGCGCCGGGACCCTCACCAAGCCTGGCCCTCGCCGGCTGAGGACAGCTGGAAGCAGAGCCGAGCAATGCAGAGCCGCAGAGCCACAGGGTGGTGGCGTGGAGACCCGGGGCCTGAGAGGGCGGCCCGGGTCCAGGCTACACGGAGCTGTGGGACCAGGTGCACCAGGCCCCCCAGACCCCAGGCCTAGGCAGCTGCACTGAAAGGCGAAGGCAGTGCCTGTGGCTTTCTCCATGGCCTGTGGCCTGTCTCCGTTCCTCTGTGAGCTCCCTCTTGCCACAAAAGAAAAAAAAAAAAAAATCCCCGGCTCTCCCTTCCCAGCCAGGAACCACATCCTGGTTCCGCCATGCCCACGTCCCGGCTCACACAGGAAGGCAGGGTCTTGTGTTTGAAGCAGGAGGGCTGGGCGGGGGAGCCGCCCTCCTCCGTGAGCTGGGTGTCGCCCGGCCCCATTGAAGGTGGTGAGGTCGGGCAGGTGAGGGCGGGAACAGAGGGTGCAGGGCGGCGCAGCAGGGGGGTGTCCCAGGCATCGCCACCATCCTGTGCCCCTGCCGGGAGCACTGGTCAACTTGCTGGCAAGGGCTGGCCCGTGACCTCCAGCTCTAGAACTCCCAGGCGTTTGACTTCTGAGGGTGTTGCTGCCTCAGGCCACTTAGTTGGTTATTTGTTTTCTGATTCTCTGAGACTCCTGGGTTCAGAATGGACATGCAGTCAAGTACCTTGATGATGAGCCCTTACACTGAGTGGCCAGATTGTTATGATCTCTGAATGCATAATAATGTGGCCACTCAATATAGATAGATAGATAGATAGATAGATAGACAGACAGACAGACAGACAGACAGATAGATTAGATAGATAGATAGATAGATAGATAGATAGATAGATAGACAGACAGACATATATTAGAGGCCTGGTACATGAATTTGTGTATGGGTGGGTTTCCCAGCCTGGCCAGGGGGAAGGGACATGGGTGCTTGGCCGGCCTGCCTGCTGGTCGAACTCCTGGTCGAGGGGACAATTTGCATATTAGCCTTTTATTCTATAGGATGTACACTGAGTGGCCAGATTACTATGCGTTCAGAGATCATCATAAGCCGGCCACTCAGTGTATTTTGTACCAGGCAGCTGGCTAAGGACTGCCTCATTCAGCCTCAGAATCACCCTAATAGGTTGGCAGTGTTGCCCCCCCCTTTGTTTTTGTTTTTTTTTACTGCTTTAGCTCTTTATAATGAACCTGTGTAAAACAATATGCGCAGGAGAGCAAGGAGTGATTCCGTTTCAGTCAGTACCGATGTTTCGGACTCTTGAAGACACTGAAGTTCAGAGATACAACCCTCGCCCTCTCTGTTCTCTTCGTGTGGGCGGCCCCCGGCCCAGGGTTCTGTCCTCTTCCCCCTCAGAATTCTCACCACGCCCGCTCCCACCCCAGCCCATGCTTCCCTGCCTCAGGCGCCTCCGAGGCCAGCCCCACGCTCCGGTCACAGCCTCGCGCTTGGATCACAGCCTTAGCTTCCGGCTTCCCGGCCCTGCTCCTGGCCTTCACCCCTCCTTCCACCTGCCCCACGCCCCAGTTACTGGCAAACCACCGGACTCATCCTGCTCTCCTTCCCCCCGCCCCGTCTCATCAGCTTGGGCTCCTCGTCAGTGTCAGTGCAATTCCCCTCTCCAGGTCCTTCGCAGCTGCCCGAGCTCCAGGCACCACTTCTGTTCACGCCGCAAACGCAGCCTCCTGCAGACCCCCTCTCCCCCCTCTTCTTCTCTTTCCTGTTCCCCAAACCACATTCCACTGCACAGACCACGCCAGGCCCTGTGCGGGCCCCGGGGTGCAGCAGGGTGCTAGAGCATCCCCCTGTTCCTTGCTCACGGCCCCATTGGGATCCCACAAAGAGAGGTAAAGTTGTAACGGTGGGTAGTGTGACAACAGAGAGGGCCCGGTTCTGTGAGGCCTTCTAAAGGGGAGCGCCAGAGAAGGATGTTTGGTTGGAGATGTGAAGGATGAGAAAGAACTAAATAGACCTTTGGTAAGAGGAAGAAGAGGAGTCCAGGCAGAGAGAACAGCAGGCACAGAGACCCTGAGGGAGGGAGCCGTGCGTGGCAAACGTGTAGCTGTTCCGTGCGTCACTGTCTGAAGGAAGCAGGAGGGATCGGTGGAAACCACCCGTGTGGATGGAACTGAGAGAGTGAGCAAGAGGCGGTGCGTGGGGCTCTGCCCACACAGGAAGGAGGCTGGCTCTTACCCAGAGCAGTGGGAGCCAGGGGAGATGGGAGGCGAGGGCAGAGGAATGGTTTCCAAAGGGCCCTCTGGCCATGTGCGGTCAGAGAGGCGGCCACGCTTCAGGAGCTGGTGTTCAGCAGGATGATGGTGGCTGCATTCCTCCCTCCCTCCAAGTCTCTCCCGTGGTCCCCCGTCCACAGACCAAACACTAAGCCCGGGTCAGCATTGCTTTTTCTGACTTTACCCTCTCCCGTCGCCTCCACACCCTCTGGGCCTCGCCAACCTGAGCCACTCGGGGCATGCGCACTGGCGCCCACAAGCCTGTGCTGCTTCTCCTGCCTGCGTTCCTGCCCCCCACAGCTCCTCTCCCGCCTGCAAGCGCTGGCTCCAATGCCGCCCCCTTTGGGAAGCAACCAGGGTTCCTCCACCCTCACCGGAATCATCATGATCCCTTACATGATTGGAAAATGTACCCATCTCTGGAAGTATGTTAAATGCTTGCCATCCATTAGAGCCATGGTTGGCAAATTGCGGCTCACCCCTTGAGTCACAAAATATCATGGCCTGGGCCAGTCTGTTTTGAAGAAGTGGCTTTAGAAGAAGTTTAAGTTTTGCCAAAACTGGTTTGGCTCAGTGGATAGTGTCAGCCTGCGGACTGAAAGGTTCCGGGTTTGATTCCGGTCAAGGACATGTACCCTGGTTGCGGGCACGTCCCCAGTAGGGGGTTTGCAAGAGGCAGCTGATCCATGATTCTCTCTCATCAATGTTTCTAGCTCTCTATCCCTCTCTCTTCCTCTCTGTAAAAAAATCAATAATATATATATATATATTTTAAAGAAGTTTAAGTTTTAAAAATTTAGCTCTCAAAAGAAATTTCAATGGTTGTACTGTTGATATTTGTCTGTGCTGACTCATGAGTATGCCAACCACTGCATTAGAGCAAAGGTGGGGAACGTCTGGCCACTGGGCCTTCAAAGGCCCATGAAATCATTTGGTCTGGCCCTGCCATGGCATTAGGGGTGAGTTAATTTAAATGTTTGACCAAATATAGCCGCTAATTTTTAAGTTGATAATTTTGTATGGCCCATGAATGATGTTATAAATATCCAATGGCCCTGGCAGAAAGAAGTTCCCCACCCCTGCCCTAGAGCATTTCATCCTAGCACCATATGAGTTAGGGACTGTTACTAGGCCATTTACAGGTGAGGAGCTGGAGCGTGCAGGCATTGTGAGAGAAGCAACCAGAGAAATGGAGTAAGGCCAGAGAAAGAAAGGCCCTGGGCCTCGCTGGTTTGGCTCAGTGGATAGAGCATTGGTGCTGGGATCGAAGGGTCCCGGGTTCAGTTCCGGTCAAGGGCACATACCTAAGTTGCCCTGGTCAGGACATGAATGGAAGGCAACCAATTGATGTGTCTCTCTCACATCGATGTTTCTCTCTCTCTCTCTCTCTCTCTCTCTCTCTCTCTCTCTCTCTCTCTTCTCCTCTCTCTAAAAGTCAATGGGGAAATATCCTCAGGTGAGGATTAACCAAGAAAACACACACACACACACACACACACACAAAAAAAAAAAAAAAAAAAAAAAAAAAAAAAAAAAAAAACAGAAGGGCCCTGGCTTTTACAAAACAGAATCTAGACTTTGTCCTATATGGGGGGTGTACAGCTGGGTGAGACAGAGAATTTCTTCAAGACAGGAGAGAAAAAAGATCCAGTGAAGAGGGTGAGGGTGAAAAGACCAAGCAGTGATTGGCACCCCAATATCCCCGGGCGGTAGGTCTGGACCTGAGCACAAGGGTGAACTATGGAGAGCAAGCCTGTCCTTGGAGACTGGATGAATGTGGGTGTGGGGACCTCACGCCTGCACACGTCTGCAGGTGGATCTGCGCAGGAAGTTGTGAGAGTTTGTGCCTCTGGACCTCAGGGGTATCAGTGACCATAAACCAAAGCCATCCAGCGAGAGATGGAGGAGAAGATGGGTCTGGCATGAGGAGGGGCATGGAGTGAGGCTTAGGCAGCAGCCCTCCTGGACATGGCAGGGCCCCACCAGGAGCCGGTGTAGCCTCCAGCCCCCTAGAAGGGTCATCTGGCTAAGGGTACAGGCTCTGGAGCCAGACCCGGATGCCTTCCCAGCTCCATCCTTAACTGTGTGACTCTGGACAAGTGGCTTACCTTTCCTAGGCTTTATTTCCTCATCAGGCAAAATTGGTACCCACCTCATCTGGTTGTGGCGGGGATTAAATGAGATACTATAAGTAGTGGGGCTTAGCGTGGTGCCTGGCAATAGTAAGTGCTCAATACATATCGTAACGAGCCCAGCAAGGTGGCTCAGTAGTTGAGCGTCGACCTATGAACCAGGAGATCAATGATTCTCTCTCATCATTGATGTTTCTATCTCTCTCTCCCTCTCCCTTCCTCTCTGAAGTCAATTTTAAAAAAAGATACTAAAAATAATAAATATAGTAATGACATATGTTTGTTGTTATCCCTTCCTTGAATCTGAGAAGGGAATAGGATCATAACCCGTGAACCTTAGCAGAGGAGGGCAGACCTGTTCTAGGAGGGAAGGCTCCCTGGGGAGTCTCGGTGAAAAGTACCCAGCATTCCTTTCGCGTTCAGTTAGGGTGCGAACCACGTG